CTTGAGCGGTAGTGTGTCATATTTGTCATTCCTGTATGTATTCTCCTCGTCTGTAGTAGAAACAGAAACGTCAATCGTATGTTCCGTAGCCTGAGTCTGACCAAGCTGATGTAGGTCTGCAATATGTTTTCGCATTTCGTCATCATTTGGCCTTGGAAAGATGTCGGAGTAGTCATCATCTGATGAATCAAAATATGATTTAGAATCATGCAAATAATTCAGAGTTGAAGCCTCCAACAACCTGCGCTCTTTAATCCTTCGCTTCAAAGATCGGACTAGTTCACGAGCAACTGGTTCATGATGCATAGCCTCTAATATTTTGAGCATGAACATCAACGTCATGTCAGACGTCATCAGGTTGGCGTTTCTTTTGCAAAGTTCTTCGATTGTCGCTTTTAGGATTTCAAATATGTACATTGCTGAGATCAACCAGTTTTTTGAACTCATCCTCAGATGTTTCCAGGTCCTTATTTAAATCTATCAGCGCCTTTTTGAATACGGATTTTGAGTTTGACAAATCTTTCTAACATATCTAATAAACTATTCCACCGTGCCCTACAATCTAAAATCAAACTGAGCTAATGTCCTATTTCTTGTTTTACATATTTCTGCAATTTGGCATCATTTTTAGTAGGCGACTTACTCAAAATTTTCGCAACTTTTCGTACTTTTTCGATTAAACCTCGTCATAGTAATCTTCTCCATAACATTCCGAAGCAGATCGTCATCTTCCAGTTCGCTTAGTTGAGTTTGGGAACTGTTTTCTTTTTTATAGAGCACGTCGAATATCGCTAGCTGTATACCATGAGCAAGGCATTGCTGGTGGAAAAGTGCTGCTTGTCTTCCAAATGGGATCATTACACTGGCACTGTCAGTAGTTGTACAGACTAAGAAACAATTCGGATGCGGATAACTTCCAGTTACTGCAAACATGTTCTGGTCGGCATGCTACCAAACACTCTTACCAGACCAAGAGTGGCAAAATTATTGATTAACATGAGTCTGTAGATATCAACATTCATAAATCGACGATTTCCCAAACTCGTCCATTCATCCAGTGTCAAAGACAGTTTCACTCCGTCTGCTTTTATTTTGCGCAGTTTAGTAATCAAAGATAATTTCACTGTCTCACTGTTCACCATGTTTTTAATGGAGTTTGAGGATGTAGGCATTTTGTATGCACATTGCGCCATGATGCGCTTTTGGTCTACAGATGTAACAAAATGGCTAAATGGAAGCCCATCTAAAGCTGTCATACGACAAACTGTCTCAGGTAAGTTTTAATTTTTTATTGACATAATATTATTTAACATAGATTTATAATGAAATACCGAAAAAAACGTAAATACCGGTTTCCATTTATTCAATCCCGGTATTTTAAAGCTTTCATTTCAGTCCGATATCCCGGTATTTTCGAGATTCGGGATCCCGGTTTGCGACCCCTATTTAATATGCTTGCTAAACTAAAAACATAAACATTAAGTAAAAACCATTGAAATTAATGGAAAAATATTAATAACAATGATTAAAAAAAAAGAAAAGTTCAAAACGTAGTATTCGCGTAAATATTTGAAATTATTAAATGACAATAATATACCTATTTAGGTAAAACATAAGTAGTGAAGTTCCAGCCTATATACGTCTCACGGCTGGGCAAAGGCCCCTTCGCATTCCTTACGCCTCATCCACACGCTTGGCAAACAACGGCAAACAGCATACACCAAACAGCAATCACGAACGTGTGGATGGTTGTTGCCTGTTTGTTTGTTTGTATGTGATTGCTAGTGATCGGCGTTGGTGTCGGTTTTTATGCACCGATCAAAGGGTGTTCGACAAACGTATTTGCGATGTATCCACACGTTTGGCGATCAGTCAGAGGTCAGAGCTTGCGGCTTGCGGGCGGCGGAAGGAGTTGTGGCTATTATTGTGGCTGTCTGTACTAGTGGCTATTATTATTATACTCTACGCCAATGTTACCAATCCGAAATTTGTCTCGGAGGTAAATATGATTTTAGAAGTTGACTTTCCTACCAATTCTACTTCGAAAAGTTAGTAGATCTACCACCTATATTTATTTTTTTAAGTTTTCTAGAGACAATTTAATAATAATATGATTGACTCCTAATTAATGTTTCTATTGGGTAACAAATATTTCACCTCTTTTTATAAGGAGCCCCGTGTGAAAGCAGGATCATTGATCATCAATTCCCAAAATAAAATCTGAAAAAAATTATTTAAGATTAGTATATCCTATATATCGATAAGTTTAGCATATCCTGATTTAACAGTTTTTAGACTTTCGTAATTACACAACAAGGAACCCTTATAGTTTCGCCATGTCCGTCCGCGGTTTTGCTCAGACCCTAGGTGGTACAAATCTGTAATTTGGCACAGTTATAAATATTAATCACGCCTAGAAAACTGGGAAATAAAATCTTAAAAACATTTTTATTTTGGGTATTTCCCATACAAGTAAATAGAGAATGATTTTTGACGTGTCTATTCATGTGGGGTATCGTTGGATAGGTCTTTGAAAAACATTGGGGGTGTTGAACAACATCTTTTCGATTCAGGGGTCCGTTTGTGAAATATTTAGCTTTAAAGTGGTATTTTTCATTAGAATCATGTCCCCCCACTCTCACTCTCACACCCTACCGACTTAACCGATGTTTATCGAAATGTGAAAAGTTTACCCAATAGTAGTTTATATAATGCAGTTAAAAGGAAAACTATCACAGCTAAGTAGAATCAAGAAGTTAACGAGTAATAGTTGACCAACTTATAAAATACACTTGGATTAGTAAAAATTTCGTTACATTTTCATAGAAAAGACCTACGAATATTTTATAAGGCGCTTCGAATAAAGAGATAATCTATGTTAAAAGTAAATAGATTCAATATAATGTCGAACGAAAGTTCGGGGTTCGATTCCCCAGTCAAGCATTAATTTCATAAAAGTTTGTTTTAAGATTAATTTAGAGTCACGTGTTACATAATAATCAGCTATGCAATACGAATAAAAGCGTTCAAACGAAACTTATTTGAACCTGAAGACAATTTATAGCAGTGATAATTGAGAATTCATTTGAGATTCTATGGTGTGTAAAATCTTCAATACAATAACCTTGAGAGCAATTCATATTTTAAATAAAAATAGGTCAACCCGAAAGTAATCGCTGCCACAAACTCGTAGTCCATCATGTTTGCCTATCCGGAATATACTAGCACGTTCGACGAGCGTGTGGATACCGTGTTTGTGTTGGGTGAATGTGGTCGGTGTTTGTTCGTGTATGGTGTATGTGGCAAACACCAAGCGTGTGGAGGCGGCATTAGACGCCCGAGCAACAAGCTCGCTGCGCTGCTCCAGTGCATGTTTGTGGGATTCACATGTACTCAAAATATTTTATTTCTTAGCTAAATGCAGGCTTTTGGTGTTTCCTGGCCATATTTTACTTCATCGCTGAACGCATGGCAACTGAGCACTTAAAATAGCAATATTGTTAATGTCAATGGTGCCGGTAGCGATTGAACTCGGGTTGCTTGTCTGCTTTGAAATTTAAAGCAAACCTCAAACCCCCTAATATGAGGTACAGCTCAGACGTCTACTAAATAATTTCAAAATTTTATTAAATTCAAAATATTTATGACATTATTACTTTAGCCAGTTCCAAAAACTTACAGTGTCATCTTAGTGCTGAAAAGCATACGGTACTGGATTAGTGTTTAAAATTCCTATTAGGTAACTAAAGGAGATGGTGAGGAAAATGTATAAGTTCTAGCGAGTAGTCTATCCAGGATTCTAATCGCCGGAAATTTGCCTACAACCTAACGAATTAAGAATTTGCCCTACTAAACGAGTTCGTTTAACTAATAGTGCATTGAGCATAGATATATAATGTAAATATATACATTTTATAATGACAACTAAAAAATAATTTCAGAATCATGGTATCCTCTCCAATACAATTATTTAGAATCTACTAAAAACATTGATAATACGATGCAAAACAAAGTAACCATTCTTGAGCTAAATGAACACGAAGTAGAACAAAATATATGTAGCTTAGAAAATGATACAAGTTCTTCAATGATCAAATTACCTATTAAACACGAATATGAAGAAACAGCAAACACTGAAAATTCTGTTTTATGTAAAAGCGAAATTTCTTTGCAAGTTACTGATGAGACATCGAACTGCTGTAATGAAATAATTAAACATACCGACAATAAAGAAAAAGAAGGAGACACTCAGTCACCTATATCGGATATTATTTCTTCTCCAGTTGATGACTTGTTTTGTTCAATACAAAAATTAAATACGCATACAACCCTATTTGAAGAAAATGAAGATTTTCCTTCCATCAGAAAGAAATCACCTACTAAAGTCAGAATAAAGTCACCGTATGAAAATAAATCTTTCTTTATTGAAGAAAGGAAAAGAAAGAAACTTTTAGAGATAAGAGAAAGACGCGAAAGAAGAAAAAAAGCACATAGTGAAAACTGTAAAGGAAAAAAATACAAATATGGTAAGGGCGCAGTAATGGCGCAACCTTCAAATTCGGTCACTAAATTATCAATAACTAATAAATCTTTTTATAATTCAATTTATGGTGAAAGTGCTAATATTAATAAAAAATACATAAAAAAACATTCTGAAAAGGGACCTTCCGAAATTTTGTCAGAATCTAGTGTAGGAAAACCTATAATGGAATTTGCTACTTTAAAAATAGATGATGATTTAAATGATTGCGAAAAAGACCAATACAATAAAATCAAAGATTACTCTATATCACCCGCCTACCCAAAAAATAATGACTTTCCTATAGACTTTAATTCATTTACTTTCCATGATGTTCCATCTGCTACTAATTTAAGTCCCACAAATATTTCAATAAACAAAGAAAAGTAAGTCCATTGAACAGTTATTTTTTGTAATTGTTAATAATTTCTGTTTTCTTTTAATCGTTTCATTTATTCTTTGCAGGCATAACGAAAGCTCTATGTCCGTAAGAATGCATAATACTACTCCTGCAAGTATCATGAATTCGAATGATAGCGACAAAAGTTTTACAAAGAAATCTCTTATATCTTTGGAATGTAAGAAAAGTATCGATAAAATATACGAACTAATGAAGAAGTTGAGCAAAGTAGACTCATCTGATTCCTCAACCTCTAAGTGTGAACTTTCATTAACTAATGAAAGTAACTTGCATCCTCTTAAAGGCAAAAGCTTCACGTTACAAATCAGTGACAGCGGCACTAGTTTAAAACATCAGCTAACGTCGTCTAACCCCAGCATTTATAGTTTTAAAGAAACTAATAATTCTGCTGAAGTTCCAACTTTAAAGAACGTAACGGTAAAGACCACAACAGCTGAAGCAAATATTATCCCGAAAGTTGTAATTAGTTCTAAATCACACATACAAAAATTAGATAAGAATGAAAGCAAATCTGTTAAAAAACTTACCATTAATACTCCCGAAAGCATTCCCAAAAACCCCTTGAAGGCAATTTCTCATTTAATAAATGAGTTCGACCTTATTCAAAAAAATAAGCAAGGAACGATAACAGAAGCAATAGAAAATAAGAGAACAATGAACGTTGACATTGATGGTAAAAGTTTTACACGCCATAAAAAAGTGTCACATTATGAAAATCAGACCAAGGTTATTCCCAATAAAATTACCATACCCAATGATAGAAAAACTCAATCGAAATTATCAGTAAATCGAGGCAAGATTATTAATCAACAAATTGCAGTCGATGATAAAAATATTGAGAACCGAAAAAAAATCACTGATATTGTTGATGATGCCTTGAGAGAAGCCAGAGGTGAGGCAGTAAGAGGTCCTTCTAAGCCATATACAAGATTGGATAGCCTATCTCAACCAAAAAGGCTTAACATCAACAGCCAAAATGAAGGCGTAAAACTAAGACATGGAAAAAATACTGTTCCTGACAAATTATCGCATTCAAGATTTGCAGCACCCCAAATTTTAGAAAAATCTGTTGTTTCAACTCCTGCCTATATTAAATTAAGACAGAAAAGAAACCAACAGGAAAATGTCACCGCTTCAAACTCTAAATCACCACAAAACTTAACAATTACAGGTTTGTACACGCGATTTTTGGACAAACCTTTTCACAGTTGTCATGTAGTTCCGACGCGAAGTTTAACATGACGCGGAAAAGAAAAAATAAAGATATGTGTATATTTTATTTTAGAAAAGCCGACGAGACAGAAACGTACAATCAGCAACTTCCCTATTGACAATGCAATACCGCCTATAAATACACCATCCTATAAACAAAGAAATGTTCCTGAAAATTCGCGTTCGCTGTAAGTAAACAAAATAGAAGCCTTAAAAATTTCGCATAGTTAACTTATGTATTTTATATTGCATGTAAATAATACGTTACAGATATATTATGGTTGAAGCACGAATGGTTTGACTCGACCGGGGTAGCACCACGCTTGCACAGAATACCAGCGTGAAATAGCAGTTTATACTGCTGTGTTTCTTATGGTGAGTGTAGAGAACCGGTGACCATTTTTACCGAAAACGAGGCAATCCACCTTTGTCCTCACGGGTGAAACGCATCTGCACTTTCATTCTTCATCGAGGATAAATGTAGATGTCTATGGGTCACATCATCCACTTACCATCAGATGGGCCGTATGCTCGCTTGCCTTATGCTATATAAAATATCACCACTAACATTATTATTACGTGTTTCAGTAAGAAGGCGATGCCCATTGAGTCGTTGAACTTAAAAAAGCATAATCGACAACTTTCACTAACGCAAACTGCAGCTTCAAGCAATTTACTTCAAAAAACACATAAGTCACATTTCATTCCTACTCCAAACTTTTCACAACAGAGCAGAGACCCAACATGTATTGGTTTTCATTAAAATTATATCCTTTATTTTTTGTTCATGCGGGGTTATTTGAATAATACTCACTCTCTTAATTCTGAATTAATTAGCGGTGAAATCTTTGTATTTACTAAAATAAGACTAACCACATTATTTTTATTCATAGTTATTTCTAATTACGAAACCAACCTCTGGACCATCTGACGTTGCAGTTTACTACAAATGAACGGCACTGTTAAAGGCAAAAATATAATTTTTAAATAGTTGGGATGGCTCGGGTGAATGAGGTTTGGACTTACTATAATATTTTCTGAAAAGTTATTTATGAAAATATTTCAGCCAGTAAAAAGGCATGAAATAAAATTTTTGATTTTTTAATATTAATTCAGGAATAAAGAGTTGCGGATATTTTTCAAATGGCCCTGGGTAAACATGGAATCATTTTAATGTTTTTTACAGTAGGAATCTCGTCAAATTTTGTATCTCAAGAGCCAACAGAAATCAAATTACCTGTCCGTAATGAGCTGGCAGCACCGCTTATGGTCCATAACGAATTCATAAAAGTACCAACATTATTAAATGAAGCAAACAATTTTACATTGTCAAAAAACTTATCTAAGGATAATGAGCTCGTATCAATTTGTTCAGATTATGATGTAGTGGATATATTAGAAGATAAAGACGTTTTAACAGCTGTATCAAGCATACCCACACAAAATAAAAGTGAACAAAGTAAGGAGACAAAAGGTAATGAAAAACTAGATGTAATTGTTTCAAAAACTGTTTTTCCAGAACACGATAATGACGGAATAAAACATTTAGAAAAAGCTTTATATCGACAAATGTCAGAAGGCGTCTTCCAAAAGCGCTTAAAGATTAAAAATTTAACCCTGACGCCTAAACCATCTATGGATCAGGTGTTTCTCTTACAATGTGGTGATGCTAATTCACTACTAGTAAAATCGTGCATAGCGCAAAACAATTACCCAAACGGTGACAAAGTACAGCTATCCAAACTTTCGAAATCGTATTTAGATTGGAGTAACCCTACGATTCCTATAAACATCGCAACAATAGGATATAGTTTTCCTAAATTTAAATCTATTAAATGTGGCTCTAACACTCAAATTAAATTTATCACTAATGAGGAAGCAGGTCTTCCATTAACTACTAAAGGACTAAAAAATTCTAATGATGAAAAAGGAATACAAACTTTACAGTTAGATAAAGGAGGTATACATATTGATGTTGGTTTTAGTACGGCTGGTTTAACGAAGATAACTGAAACAATTGTTAATGGTTGTACAGATTTGCCTGTACCTTTAATAAATAATAACAGAAATGCGCAATCCGAAAATATAAATATCACTAACGAAAGTGAAAACGTTACTAATACTACATCGCTTGATATTTTAGCTGAACTTTTGGGTGAAATTGAGAAAATAGCAAAATATCAAAGCCTTAAAGCGAATGATGAAGAAAAAATTGAAACAAAGCAACCATATAACCCAAGTGCAGATCTGAACTGTTTTGTCCCTGATGAACTTACAGCATTTTGTTTGAATAGAAATGTCATAACTAGCAAAGATCAATCAAGTACACTTGAATCTGAGGTAATACGGAAAAATGATAATTTAAGTGATGTTACCCAGAAAATTATTAAAGTTGCCAATATAATAGAGCCAAAGTATGTTGACAAGGAAGTGACTGTAACGATATATAACGAATGCATTAACGCATTTACGGACGTGCCTTCTCAATTAAGTATACCGAAAGAAGAACATCGAAATGCTTCAAAGCCTTTTACGGGTACTATAAGCGAACCGTCTAATCATTCTCTTGTGTCTTTATATGATTATCGTACTTTATATTTAAATAAAATAAAAGACATGACATATATCCAATCTTTTAACCAAACTAAGCAAAGTGATGATTCAATGGAGAATTATGGTCAATATGTTGATGGAAAAGGAAATGAAGATAGTACATGTCTTAAAAACCAAAAGGTTTTTAATTCCATGCTCAGAATCAAGAGAGATATTCTAGTCACTATTTACTCTATTTTAGTGTTTACTGTTTTCGCTGCTTTGTCTTTGTCAGAATTTATATATTAATTGTTAACCTTTTAAATCTTTTTTCATGAAATCACTTCATGTTAAATTTATTGTTTAAGTTATGTTATGTAATTTATATATCTGCTTTTGTCTATTTAAAATTATACATACGAGTTTTGAAATACATATGTTTTATTTATCCTTAGTTCGTTATATATGTATCTACTGTGTACTTAGGTACCTACTTATAAACATACTGCTTGATATGAATTCTTGAAATGCACTACTCGACGAGTACTGGGCGTTAAAGTGCTGTGTTATTAAGATTGCTATGATAACAAATTAAATACATAGTCATAGTGAAGTGAAGTTTCACCGACACCAACGTCTTGTACCTCTCGAGAAAAGACAGCGAGGGGTGATGATAGATTAATGCTTAATAACAGTGTAAGTAACTTACACACTTAATATTAACAATTAAAGTAGGTAGAATTTTTAACAATAAATATATGATAATTTATCCTAATGAGAAAAACTATCATAAAATATTAAAGTGTCGAATAAGAAAAGAAAACAACTAACTAATAATTAAAGGATTAGATGGCAGCAAGCGATAGGATTTTTATAGTAACAACTATTTTATAGTTACGGGTAGTGCAAATGACTGATAGATGGATACAGTGTTTAATGAGATGTACTATGTAACAATTATCCTATAGTTCACGAGTCATTTCACGACACATGATATTCATTCACAAGGTACCTCAAACTTAATTTACCGATTAGTCGTAGGAAAGGTAGCCTTATTGACACTAATCACTGATTCGCGTATATCTATCGGAACACTGCACGTGACGCACATTTACCACCACTTCACTAGCACTGTCACTATCCGCTGGGTGTGCAACCTCCCCAGGCTGCCGCTGGTCGTCTTAGAGGGTCCCGCCGGCGCCGCAGCGCGTAGGTTACACCTAGCTCTTAACCGATGAAACGTGAAAACACCGCTCACAAGCAACAGTGAGCCGGTGATGTGATGACATACCCAAGCGCATAGTGGTGTACATCGTGAACGCTTAGTTCACCACGAGACTGTTTTTTTTATAGAAGAGGGAGCAAACGAGCATGCGGCTCACCTGATGGTAAGTGACTACCGCCGCCCATGAACAACCGCAACACCAGGGGAATAGCAGATGCGTTGCCGGCCTTTTAGAAAGGTGTAAGCTCTTTTCTTGAAGGTTCCTTGAGTACCACTATTTGCCTATTAAGCACACGCCATTTTTGATCTTGCTCGTCTGCTCGTAATTGTGTGTTAAATTTCAAGTTAAAAAAGTCGTATGCTAGATGTGTTAATCAATTTGTTTATAATTGACACCGCTGGGAATTCTATGTTTTGATATTAATTTTATTGATGAAATTGTTGTGTGCAAAAATTGTAAAGTCCGTTCCTTTCATGGTACACATAAAGCCAAGATGTAGGATTCCATTGCCTCTCAGTTGTTGTGACGATACTCTGTCTGGGCAAATAATGCGCACTGCGCATTCTTCGCACACGTGAACAGCCAGCTGTTATCGGCATGTAACTTAACCCAGCTCTTTCGGCAACTTGATACTTCTGTCGAAGAAGGTGATATGCTCGTGCCACTGTAAATTAACTTACTGTCGCATATGGATTGTTTAATGTTTATATTGTACACAGGCATATTTGGGAGCATAAGGCCCTGTCCGCACTGCGATATTTCACCACGCGAGTTTCTCGTAGTTCTGTAACACATAAAATTTTATAGGAGTAGCCGCACTAGCGGTAAAAAAATCGCAAGGGAAAAAAATCTAAAAAAAAATCGCGAGGGAGAAAGATTTGTTTCCGCGCGAATATTTTGTGCAGTATAAAGTAAGTATGGCTATGTCCGCACTGCAGAATAAATCGCGCGTTTCGCGTCTTTCTCCAGATTTTTTTTTATAGGATAGGGTGACAAACGAGCACACAGTCAACCTGATGGTAAGTGGTTGCTGCAACCCATAGACATCTACATCTATTTTCAATAAAGAATCAAAATGCAGATGCGTCGTCACCCCTGAGGACTAGGATGGAAGGCCTCTTTACCAGCAAAATGGTTCTCCGGTTCTCTACAGTACCATGCGAAGTACAGTAGTGTCACGATGCCATTTTACGCTGGTATTCTGTGAGAGCGTGGTCCTTCCCCGGTCGAGCCGACCCATTCGTGCTACAACTCGGTCGTCGGGATTTTCGATTAATCAACAAAGAAGCCGAGAATTAAGACATGGAAGCATGTGTTACTACTCTGCCTCTTTGTTATTGCATTAGTAGGGATATTCGATATACATCAATGCATCGAATTCACTCGATGTTTATAATACGATGCATCGAATCGATACGATGTTTTGGAAAGTTATTGATATACTCAATGTAGGTATTTGTCAAGCATAAGTATTTGTCAAAACATGAAAATTATGATAAATACCATACTTTTGCAGTGCTTAAGCGCCAAAAAAGTGCTCAGATCATCACGAAATATAGACCAATCGACACAGAAAAAAAAATCCAATCCAACGATATATATATAACTCATTTTGGCCAAGATGGCGCTTAAGTAGTATTGGCTTTCCAGTGACGATATATATATGTATACCGAGTATATACTGTCATATATAATCATATATATACCCCGTAAGAATACCCACTACCCCACATCTTCCCGTGGGTGTGGTAAAAGGCGACAGAGGGAAACTGAGGCAGAGGATGGGCAGCAGCATCTTTTTGATAACAGCAAAACAACAATAAAAAAACTGCGGTTGCCAACCCGCTCGCCAAGCGTGGCCATGATAGTAACGAAGAGACGGCCTCTAGTCCCTGGCGGCCCCGCTATTCCTGGGTACGGTGGCGACCATGGTAACGGCGGGGCAGGGGGTGCTAAGAATCTTCGGCGGAGGTTCGGTTGCCAACTACGACGACTCGACCTGGTAACTTATAACGCACGCCGACTGAGGACTGACGAGAAGACCCTGGAGCTGGAACAAGAGTTAGACAAGTTACGCTGGAATATCATAGGATTATCCGAGGTCTGAAGAGAGGGGGAGGACACGGTAATCCTCAAATTGGGCAACTTGTTCTATCATCGGGAGGGCGACCATCTGTCCCAAGGAGGTGTCGGACAGTCGGATTTATCGTCCACAAGTCTCTCGTTAACAACGTTGTAAAGATTGGGAGTGTGTCGACGAGGGTTGCGTACCTTATACTCAGAATCACCAAACGGTATTCGCTGAAGGTCATATAGGTTTACGCACCAACCTCGGCACATCCCGATGAGGAGAGGAGGAAATGTATGAGGATATTTCTAGAGCCATGCATTCCTCCAAAACCCACTATACGGTGTTAATGGGAGATTTCAATGCAAAACTAGGCACAAGAGAGAACGGTGAGCTGAAAGTAGGGAAATTCAGAATAGGGCAACGGAACCCAAGGCGCCAGCAGCTGGCTGACTTCATGGAGAAAGAGAGACTCTTTATGATGAACTCCTTTTTCCAGAAGCGGCCCCACAGGAAGTGGACCTGGTCTAGCCCCGACGGTTTGACAAAAAATGAGATTGACTTCATTATGACAACCAGACAACAACTGTTCAGTGATGTCTCAGTGATCGCAAGGGTGAAAACCGGCAGCGATCACCGAATGGTTAGAGACACACTGAACCTAAACGTCAAGTTGGAGAGGTCACGTCTAATGAAGTCAACGCTCTGCCCCCCTCGTGCTCTAATCGAAAGTCCCGAAACTTTTCAGTTCGAGCTACGAAACCGTCTTCAGTGCCTAGAAGATTGCAATGCAGTGGACGATATGAATGACAAGCTCGTGGAAACTGTCCATGCGGTCGGAGCTAAGTTTTTTTTTATATTCCACTAAGCCAGCGCTTATCTACGATCCCACCTGATGGTAAGTGGTGATGTAGCCTAAGATGGTGAAGCGCACTGACTTAACAAAATCCTATTCACTCTTGCCTTGAAGACACCAACACTGTAATCGGATGGAAAGACAGATGCTGGCAACTTATTCCACTCCTTTGCTGTACGCATGATGAACGACGTGGCGAAACATTTGGTTCGAATGCTTGGTGAGACAACAACGAAAAGGTGGACTGGCCGAACGTCTGGTTGTCCGATGGTGGAAGGGAGAGGGGGGAATTAAATTATGCAATTCCTGCGCACACTCCGAAATGCATCCTGTAGAAAACCGAAAGGCTGGCTACTTTACGTCTGTGTTCGAGGCTGGTAAGATTGGTTTTAACCAAATTCGGGTCACCAATAAGCCTCTTAGCACGCCTTTTCATTGAGTCCAAAGCTGCTAGGTGGCATTTTGCAGCACCAGCCCAAATATAGCAGCAATACTCCATGCACGACTGGACTTGCGCTTTATATAAAGTAAGCAGCTGTCTCGGCGTGAAGTATCGCCGCACCTTTGCAAGGACTCCCAGCTTCCTTGCAGCTGCTTTGGCCTTGGACTCAATGAACCGCCCGAAGTTCAAATTTGAGGATATTTCAAACCCTAACAACTGAAGGCGGTCGGTATATTTCAGTGATACATTTCGGAAAGAAGGAGCCAAGGTGAGCTGGCTCCTTTTTGCAGTGAAGAGACACGCTTGTATTTTGGAGGCGTTGAACTTCACAAGATTAGCATTGCCCCATTCGGAGACTGCCTGTAGTGTGAGATTCACACGCTCTACCATAGAGGACCCGAGGACTTGGTTGGTATCCAGCTCATATGCCAAGCGTAGTTTTATTTCATTATAGAACATTTTGCCACAGGTTAGAAAGGGAGCGATCATCTTCTCAAAAGCCCGGTAAAAAGCCCACGCGTGCGAGAGAGACGACTAATCGCTCAACTCAACTCCTTTTTTATGACAGCAGTATAGCGCAGTAAAGCTATCTGCCAAGTGTTGACGTTACATAATAAGGCTACGAGGTTATGACCTGTGTAGAACAGAGGAGCGCGCTGGAATTTGAAATAGTTTGAATCAGTTTACGAGTTATTTTATTAGTTGATATTATTGACT